TATGGAACAGCGGTATTTCTTTCCCCCCAAAACCCCAAAACCCCAAAACCCCATCAAGAGTAAATTATGAATTGACAATTTAGTAAGATTATGTAAATAGCAAATAAATGGCAAATTCAATTTTAGTTCAAAGATAGAAAAGGAGCACAATTTTTAAAAATATAGATGTACATAAAATTATCGATACATAGCCAAAAGATTCAATCAAAAATGTCTTTTAAATGCTCAGATATAATGATAGAAGTAATGAATAAGCATTTTTAATCATTGGATAGGAAATGCACTTGCATAAAATATGATCGATATTGAAGTATCGTCTGAAGAGGAGTCTTCTCGCCAGACTGAAAGAATAGAAAATAAGAAATAAAAGTCATAAGGATTTCAAAGAGAAAATAGATTAGTAAATCATTTGCAATCTTAAGTATATAGTTAATTAAACAATTAGAGTACCATATCAATTTTCTAAAGATAGCCGAGAAATGAATAATTTTGACTGAAATTTTATCTGCTATGATAGGAATCGCAGCAATATTTTTTTCCGTTCTAGAAGTATAATTTCTTAATTAATATATCTGTAGTCTGATGAATACTTTTCAAATAATAACAAATGAAGATATACTCATAATTCAATAACAATGAGTTACAGGCATTTGAATTTTTCACTCACTGTGCTTTTGTGTATCTAAATATCCATTAATTAAATTAGTAATCATACTATGTTACAGATCCTATATGACATTTAAATTGCACAAGAGGCAAGGTAAAAACATCAAGAGAAGTAATTTAAATAATCTTTCATAAAAATTATAGTAACATATTTTAGCAGTTTTTAGTTCAAGCAGTTAATCATTGAGCTATTAGTCAATCTAATTCATATGCCAGCTTGGACAGATTACGAATTTCATTACTCTAACTAAGGAAAACAAGTTATTTTATCAATAGATTGCCTGATTAATTTTGCAGTAATGTGTAGAATATATCTCATTCTAAGAGTGCTTACAAAAATGACTACCTGGAGAAACAAGAAATCTCAAAAATTTTGTAATAGTGAAGGAATTGAAGCTGATACAATTTTTACATTGAAATGCCTAATGTAAAAAAACCCTTACCTGATGCTAGTTTTAGCTTTCATTATTTCCAGTGTAATGCTTGGATTTGCTGTTAGAACTTTAGAAAGACCATATTATCAAGATGACTAAACTGGAGAATCTGAAGTGAAAGGTGCTGGATATTAAGATTATAACTTTATCATGAATGGTTGGTGGCTGATTGTAGTAACGATGACTACTGTTGGATTCGGAGATTTTTATGCTAAAACATATTTAGGAAGAATGATTAGTTCTCTAGCATGTATCTATGGAACTTTCTTAGTTTCATTAATGGTTGTAACATTACAAAGTTCATCCAAATTTAAATGTATTTTAACTACTTATTAATCATTTAAGGTCAGCAATAAAAGGCATTTGATTCTTTGAGATCAATTGCTCATTTCCAACTTAAAAAGATTGCAGCTGCAAAATATATTTTCTATCGCTTCAAGTTTTACAAAATCAATAAGAAATTATGTTAATAGCAATTAATTGATAAAAAGCAGCAAATGCTTTTTGAAGATATTAAGTTTAGAAAGGAAAAAGCTCGAGTTGATTTCAAATATTTATACAAACAAATTTAGCTAAATCCTGATACTGAAATTCTTTTCCTTGAAGATATTGATGAGAAAGTAGATCTATAGCTAAAAGAAATTTCTTACTTATAAAGCCTAAAAAAGCACATAAATAGTAGATTAGACAAATTTATTAATCATTAGAGAAAGACGATAGAAGAACTGAAATGTATTAATAAGAATTTTAAAGTAAGGTATTTTAATCTTTAATGATACTAATTAGAAATTAGAGATACCTATGAATAAATCTTAATTTTTCATAATGGGCTCTAATATAATCTAACTAATGGAAGAAGAGCAAAAAAAGAGGAAAAACTAAAAAGTATAAAAGCAACTAGGAATAGATGCCAAGCTACAAAAGGAAATCAAACTTTAGCAGGAAAATAGAAATATATTAAAGTATAAGTTAACTAAGATTTAGTAAGAACTTTAGCATAGATTGAAAGATGACAAGTACAATCATTAAATACAGCTTGAAAATGAAGAAGATTCTTCTACTCAAAAATATCCTACGAAGAGTTTAAACTTTGACATTCCTTCCATTCAAGTCATTACTCCATCAAGTGAGATTAATTTAACTGAGGGTATTTAAAGTAGAATATTAAAATAGAGGTAAAGTTAACAGAAAAAACTAGGACATAGATCAAGGTTTAATTCATAGGATGACCAGACTATCTCAGAAATTAGATTAGACCTGCCTCCTAGAGAAACAAATTTTCAGGTAGATTAATAAGAATCACTGGGAAGTTCTTAATAAAACCCTGATTATACTTAGTATTCAAGAAAAAGAGTCGATAAATAAAATGATATAATGCTCTCTCTTAAACCAAGAAATAAAACACCTAATAGAATAGAATTGATTAAAAGTAGGACCTTTCTGACTGAACAAGATTTCACTTCAACAAGTTAAACATAATAGTTATCAAAATAGACTACCTTTGACAATTAAAATTCAAGACACTAGAATCTTTCTATAATATTCGACAAGAATGCTCAAGTAAGATCAATTAATGACATTATATAAGATAAATAAGGTCAGATTTAATAGTCATTCACTAACCTTTAAATAAAAAAGGCTACTGCTTATAAGAAAAATTTGCACCTTAAAATGAATAACAACTAAAACTAATGATTCCTAATATTCTTAATTTCATAAATTGCTTCAAATTTGTTAAATATCAAGAGTAGGGGTTTTGGGGTTTTGGGG